TGAGTCAAAAACAAGTGGGCTATCTTTTGAACAAGTTAGAGACTAGAACAATTGATAGCTTTGCCAAGCTAAAAACAAGCCTGGAAAAGAGATTCAAAACTGTTGTATTTGGTAATACTCAACTTTTTTCAGAAAGGATTGCGTTGGCTATTTGATAAATTGTGGGAATATATGCACCAAGAAGCTTTTCAATGTCTCAGAATCAGGAATTAAAAGTGCAGCTTGAGGGATTGATTTTTCTAGATTATATTTTACTTATGCTTTTTTTTTTTTTTTTTTTTGAAAGATACTTATGCTTTTCGTTGTTATATAAATAAGTCCCAATGTATCAGAAAAAAAAAAAAATTCTTATCCCTAAAAACCAAATCTTAATTATTACTTTGTATTTTACATAATGCATAAGAGAAATTAGAGGTAATCATTGGCCCGACACGCTAGTCCGGCCCGAAAATAGGGCGGGTTGGGCAAGCCTAAAAACGTATTTTTAGCTAAAAGTCCTAACCTAGTCCGAAAAAAGTCCAAAAAGCTCGTTACTTTTTTGCGGGTTTGGGCACGCAGTATCATGTTAAGGCCCGGTCCGACCCGATTTTTTGATCACCTCTAACAGAAATACGTAGTAAGACTTTTTAACTGGGGGCGAATGGAGTAACATAAGTCCAATATCAATAATAATGGGTAAAAACTAACATAAGTATGCAATAAAGAAATTCTTTGATAATAATAAAGAACATAAAAGTGAGAAATTAAATTAAAAAATTATTTACAACTTATCCAACGTATAGATGGATTTTAGTTAATAAAATGAAGATTCAAAACATTACAATGTTGTGATATTATTATATTAATCAATATTCATTCAATATTAAACACACACAGCCTGATCATCACCAATATAAACTACGGAGTAATATAAAAATGAATTGAGTAGCTAAAACTATCTACTACCTCCGTTTTATATTATTTGCAATGATTAGCCACTTTCTATTCACATTTTACGTTAAATTATTGCAAATAATATGAAACGGATGTAGTCATATGTAAATCATATACTTGAGCCTTTTTGATCCTCTCATATCTTAAATTATGAATAGAGGCAAGCTAATAAAATGGAGCATTTAGTTACAACTTATAAGTCACAAAAACGAGAAATCTAACAAGTAGTTTGGTCTCCCAAAGAGAATTGTAAAGTTTTGCATGCATTTAGGCACAAGGTACACTTGCAATAAAACTGGTTACAAACATCACTAATTTCTAGGGGTGGGACTTTTCAAACCGAACCGTGAAACCGCCCGTTACCGAACCGAACCATCACGAACCGATCCGTTTATAAACCGATAAATATAAACCGAAAACCGAACTGAACCGTTCAATATCAAACCGAAACCGAATTGAACCGCTCAATGTCAACCCGTTACGGACCGTAAACCGATAACAAACCAAACTGCGCAAATCCGAACCGAAACGAAACCGAACCGAATGGTTTATAAACCCGTTAATGACCCGAACCGTTTATAAACCGAAACCGTTTAAACCGAAAAAAAAACCGTTTAAACCGAACCATTTGTAACCTGCTAACCGTTTAAACCGACCCGTTTATGAACCGAAACCGTTTAAACTGCACGTATAAACCGAACCGTTATAATCCGCTAACCGTCTAAACTGAACTGCCATAACCCGTTAAACCGTTAAAATCGAACTGTTTTTGAATCGCAACCTGTTTAAACTGATCCGATTACAAACTGCTTAACTCAAATTGAATTATTTACAACCTAAATGGCTAAATAGTAAATACAATTAATGTTAATAAATGTAGATCTAATCAAACGACTTAGGTTTATACAAAGGTTTATATCACCTAGATCTAGGCCAACGACATTATTAATATCGTTTTAGATTACTTATTTATTTTAATTACAAGATATATCATTTGTATCATTTTCATTCCAGTAATAATGCTAGTCCACCCAAATTATCTTCATTGTTCCTTGATATTCATGATCATCCAATAACACTCAAAGCCTCAAAGGTAACATAAGATTGGAGATGTATGAGATTGCGTTACACAAGTGGCATAAGCATTAGAATATTACTGTACTAGTCAATAAGGCGTACAATCATTCACATTATCACTTTATAAAATCGAGCATAATAAACAACAAAACAGCACAAATCTACCATTTTCCTGTAAAAAACAAAAATACAATCAACAACAGATTTTAGGCATATTTCGACTATATTCAAGCAAGAACAACAACAATAATCAAATACAAAAACAGAAAAACTGTATTAAAAAAAACGAAAAGGAAAAAGTAATTACCTTTGACGGCTTGAAGGAGATTTGAAGATGGAGAACTGCCTGAACTGGAGATCAAAAGAAAAAAATCAAGAATGTAGATTATCAGAACTTGAAATAAAAAAAAAACCGAAACGAAAACGAAAAAAATCGAAAAAATTAACAAAAAAATTACCTTGAGGTTTGATGGCTTGAAGGAGAGGAAGATTTGAAAAAAAAAAACGAGAATGGAAAAGTTAGAAATCAGAACTTTGGATCCAAAACAAAAATGAAACGAAAACAAAAATCCTAAATAAAAAAAGTAAAAAACCGAAACGAAAACGAAAAAAATCAAAACGAAAACAACAAAAATCAACAAATAATTACCTTGAGGTTTGACGGCTTGAAGGAGAGGAAGATTTGGAAAAAAAAATGAGAATGGAAAAGTCAGAAATCAGAACTTAGATCCAAAACAAAAATGAAACGAAAACAAAAACCCTAAATAAACAAACCGAAACAAAAACGAAAAAAATCAAAACGAAAACAACAAAAATTAACAAAAAATTACCTTGAGTTTTGAACTTTTGACGGCTTGAAGCCTTCAAATTGAAGGAGAGGAAGATTTGAAAAAACAAAAAAACGAGAATGTAAAGCGAGAAATCAGAAATGTAGATCCAAAACACAAATGAAACGAAAACAAAAACCCTAATTAGGATTTTTAAAAGTTGAGAAGTTGAGCTTGAGATTCTTGAGAATTTCAGAACGAAAGAGTGAGAAACTGAGAAGTTAGAGAGAGAAACTATGAGTGAGTAAAACGGCTGAATGACTGATAGAGTGGGTTTTTTTTTTCTAGGTTTAGGTTTTACTTGTTCAGTTGATCTAACCGTCCATATTCAATCTCAACATCTAACCGTTCATTTTTTTTTTTGTAGATTCCAGAATATTCATCTAGATCTAACGGTCTAGATTTTTCTTTGTGCTTTTCTAAGTCTTTTTGACCGTTTTTTTAAATTATTTATTATTATTATTATTTTGAGGGATTATTATTATTATTATTATTGTTAGTATAATTATTTGTTAATATTATTATTATTACTAGTTTACTACTACTATTATTATAATATTATTATAATTATTATTATTAGTACTATTATTATTATTATTTATTATTATTATTATTATTACTATTATTATTATTATTAGTTTATTACTTATATGTTATAAATTGTAAGAAACGCAAATGTTTCAAAATTGAAATTGATTCAATACGACATAGTTAATGACTTAATGAGTTAATGCACATCAATATCTGACATCTCTATATGTATATTATATATATCTGTGAGTCTGTGACTGTATATCAGTATATATATAATAAACTAATAATAACTTAATAAGTAATACTAATAACTAATAAAGTAATGAAAATCTAACCATTGTTTTTCATGGGCATTCAATCTAACCGTTTTATATTTGACTATTCGTACATTAGTATTGCATAATGATTTCATCACCACTTTAATTAGTGATTTCGTGATTTCGTCCATTTAACTTATTAAGTTTTTTGAGTTAGTAATCTAAATAAAGTAACAAACTAAATAACGAATCCATTTAATCTCGTGTAAGTTATAATTTATAAGAAATGCAATGTTTGGAAATGAAATTGATTCAATACGATATTGTTAATGTATATGTAATTATAGATTAATTATTATGTATATCATATCGTACGAATGTACGGTTGGTATCATTATCATACTATCATAAGTATCATTGCCTCATTGAATTATTGGTATGTACTACAATCGATAAACATATTTACATATCTGATCATTAAAACTTAAAAGTTTAAAACACTTGTTGATCAATCTAATTGAATACTTGTACATTCTTAATTATCGATTTATCGTATTATAAGTATCAACTCATTAAATCATGGTCATGACGCGATCTTTAAAACAATCATGAATTCATGACCCAAACCGCTTATAAACCGAACCGACATGATCCAAACCGTTCATAAACCGAACCAATTGAACTGTGTAAACCCTCCACTAAACCGGCCCATTTCAAACTGAACCGACATGATTCGCACCGTTTATAAATCGAACCGATATTGACCCGGGTAAACCCGCCCCTAAACCGACCCATTTCAAACCAAACCGGCTTGATCCAAACCGTTTGTAAACCGAACTGACATTGACCCGGGTAAACCCGCCCCCTTAACCGACCCGTATCAAACCGAACCGACATAATCCGAATCGTTTATAAACCGACCCGCTTATGACCCAAACCGAATTTAAACCGCAAAGAAATAAACCGAAACCAAACCGAGCTGTGACTAACCCAAACCGAACCAAACCGACCCGCCAGCTAAACTAAACCGTTTCAATCCGAACCGCTTCAAACCAAAACCGACTCAAACCGAGGTCAAACCGAACCGCCAGACCGAAGTCCCACCCCTACTAATTTCACTAAAATCGGTTGCTCAAAGTGAATATAATCAACACAATTATCATCTATCGGTGAGTGTTTTTTTTTCTTTTCATTGTGACAAAACCCATAATCTCATGGTGGCCTAAAAACTAATATTAAAACGCATTTAAAAGTAAAAAAAAAAAAATATTATTCCTACTGGGAAAATTAGATTCCTATGAAAGCCTAATTCTTTAATTGAATCCCTTAATTAGAAACATCAATACATACCTAAATCCATGATTCATAACTTTCAAGCAATGTTTTCTTTACATAAAAGTTGATTATCCTTAGCTTTCCTATGATTTTCCTCTCCGAGGGAATCAATATTCTTCTCTTGCATGTGAAAAAGTTCCCCATTTCCTATTACCTTCTCCTCAAGTAGTAATTCTTTATCTTTAAAGGGCCCTTTAATACGGTGAATTACTTCCTCTTGTCGTTGTCTATTATGAAGGCCCTCTAAGAAACATTGAAGATTTTGGTTGGAAGAACCCCCCTCCATAATTGCTTCTAGGGCCAACTCCATCCACTTCATTGTGTTTCTCCTTATCTCTTGTCCATTCTCTTCATCTCCCATCACGGTCTCCACACACCGTTGGACCTCTTCTCGGTCCACAATAGTACCCTCTTCGTTATTCTTCTTTGCCCTGATTCCCACTCGCCATACCTCCTCCACCAACTTTGCGTTGGTAGGTTGATCCGATATTTGCGGGAGCCCCACCATTGGTACTCCCGTGACTAGTCCTTCTAATATCGAGTTCCACCCACAGTGTGTCACAAAACACCCTATTGTAGGGTGGCTTAGCACTTCCACTTGGGAGCACCAAGCCACAATCAACCCTTTTTCGTTCGGGTTACCACCAAATGGCCCAAGCCCGTTTTTAACTACATCGTCTATAACCACCTCATCTTCATCCCCCACAATCTTATTATGGGTCATGGGCCTAACCACCCACAAGTAAGGCCGACCCGTTAATTCAAGCCCATGTAATATTTCCCCAAATTGCTTTCTTTTTATTACGGCCATGCTCCCAAATGACGCGTATATAACTGACTTCTCTACTTTGTTCTCTAACCAAGTTAAGTACTCCCTAGACCTCTCAAACAAATCACAACCGTATGATGTATCGGACGGATCAATCATGTCCGAAAAGGCGGAAGGAATCAACGGTCCGATGGTGATCATCTTTACACGATGATCACGATCGTGATCAACGGCCTTGCTTTGTGACAAATTTGGAATTAGATTCAAGATGAAACATTATGCTTGATAGATGAGTACTATATGATGGTGGTGGAATATATAGCTGCCATATAGCCATAATATCTTAAATATATTTGTAAAACCCTAGAAATCCCTTTCCCTTAAAATACCTGTTTGTCTTTTTTTGAAATATGAAATAGGAAAATCTAAGACATTACCGCCACCGTAAAAACGGCTAAGGCAAATATCAAATACACACAGCGGAAGAGTTTCTTTAAAACCATTCAAAACAAGTCAATTTAAAAGTCAAGCCAGACGAAAGTAAAGTCAAACAAGGTAAAAAAGTCAAACAAAGTCAACCTACAACTCGGAACCATTGTAGGCCCTTAAAACCAAACAATGCTGAAAACCTTTACGTTAGTCTCGTGAGCATAATAAAATAAATAATATTCAAAGCAAATAAAACACATCATATTCTTATGGAAACTAAGCATGATTTGCTCTTCACTCATGCCCATCATGAAAATGCTTCATCACTAGAAAAACTTCTCTCTACTTGTCCCCACTACTCGCCATTAGAAATGGGTCGTCGTAGGGCCAATGTAAAGACAAGGCCAAACAAACATACAATACACAATCAACAATGCTGAGTACATAAGCGTAATAAAACACACTATCATGCTTTCATCCTATCATCACACAACTTACCTTGTTACACATGTAAACAAGCATACAAGACATTCAACACTTAACTAGACAAATACCAATGTCCATTTAATTTGATTACGCATCGAACGGGTTTCCCCCTAACCTGCCCCAATAAAGAGGTATTAACACGGGAGCTAACCGTGCCAGTATAAAAGAACCACTCGTAAGTGGCGAAATTCTTGCGCATAATAAAGAAGAGTATACAACGTCCTGTACTCCCAGTAGAAATTATGGTCAAATATAAAGTCGCATAACTCCTCCCATATGTTCATACTCAAGGTATATACGTTCCAAGAGTTTGGGTGCGTAATCTCTTTCACTTTACGTTGCTTTACATATATTATTATACTTGGTGATGACTCTCAAACCATAACACAATCAAACATTATAATTCATTCAAGAAATAAAACATACCAATTTAATTCTTGAATAATTAGTAACCACATAAATTTAAGTTGAATCCTTTTTAAACTACCTCGGTGTTAAATAACACCTTAAGCGCATAAAGCACGACAAATACTATCCTTCGGTGTTTAGAACACCTTAAGTGCATTTAGGCACCAAAATATAATTTAATCCTCGTGTCTTTCTCATGCTTATAGCATCAATAAAAATTATATAAACCACTGATAAGTCGTGTTTTGTGTATATTATTTAGCTTGTTTTTAGTTAGTTTTGTTAGTTTAGTTGAGTATTTGAGTCTGTTTTGGTGTAATTTGGTTTAGTTTCGATGATTCGATGCTTTTATGGGTAGTTTCGTTGTTTTTGATGTATTTCAGGATTAACGGAGCTAATTTGGAGATTTTACGAAGTCACGAAGCTATGCCGAGGCCCACGAATATTAAATCATGTGTTCGAGACGAACTTGAGTGAAAATGAAGCAAAACGTTGATGAAATACTTGACAAATATGACATCTGTTCACTATTATGCTCATAACTTTTGGTATACAAATGATAATGGAATGATTCAAATTGCATTGGAAAGTAGACTTGAAGACCTTTCCAACGATATATTACACGCCTCAAACGAAGCTCCGGATATGAAGTTATGACTGATTTAATATGAGTGATACGCGCAGCAGAGCAGGCACGTCCGTGCCCATCACCAGGCACGTCCGTGCCTGGAAGACAGACTCAGCGGCGTTTTTTATTTTTAGAGAGGCACGTCCGTGCCTCACACTAGGCATGTCCGTGCCTCCTGGGATTCTTGTGCGCCAAGGCTTGGCCGATTTTCTTATCTTTTTGGGCTTGTATATATATTCTTTAGCTTTGTTTTTCTTGGGGATTCATTAAGTTTATTTTATTTTTCAATTCCTATTATTAAGAACTAGTTCTCCACCTACTTTTCTAAGTTTTTGTAATTCAAGATTCAAGATTCAAGCTTTCTACTTTCAATTTTATTCAAGATTTGGTATTTATTTTTCATCCTTTGTTATTTAATTATGTTTTCATTATTTATTATTGTTTTTGTTTCTTTAATCATGTGTGAGTAGATTCTTTAATTCAAGATCTAGTGTAGCCTTTTTATTATTGATGCATGAATTAAATCTTTAAATTCTTTAATAACTTTAACAATTGAATTGCTAAATTGATTGTGATTATGCCAATGCTAGGTTAGACGTAACTATAGTATTGCGATTATTCCATTGTTTTTATCACAGCGAGAGTTGGATATAAACGGATTTAAGTAAATCAATTTAGGGTTTGATTCTCAACACGAGAGTAGTTGGGTTTGATAATTGGGAAGTGAGAGTAATGTGTTTAATGTCTCTAATATGCATGATACCATGAGAATAGGATTGATTGTATGTTAGGGAAGCCATTGATACTCGAGAGAGATCCTTGGTACTTATTAGGGTTTACTTTTCCCCGTTCAATTGAAATCGTATGTTAAGGGTAGAATTACAATTGCATCGATAATAGTTGTGGTGAAGCTAGATCTTGGATGTTTTTAATTGCTTGATTTAATCATCTTAATTAGTTTATTTTCGATTTTTTCCTAAATTTTAGATCCTTAGTTATTGATTATAATTGATTCTTGCTTAGTAGAAATTCGAGTCTATTTAATTATTTTTGAACCATAGTCTCTTGGGATCCGACCCTTACTTGCCAGTCTACATTAGTATTGGTATGTTAGGTTATTTTTGATAGGTACGCGACACGCCTACCAACCACAATAAAATTCCTTTCAATATTCCAAACTCAATCAAACATGTAGTTTAATTAAACATGCTCTCAATCATGCTAATAATAAAAGTGTGGTTCATAATCAACATGCCAACATAATTAATTCCAATCACCAATTCATCATAAATAATTCATACATCACAAATCATTCACCAACATCAATCATACAACAAATTCCACCCAACACCTATCATGATACTACTTGGAATTAATTAAACAAAGCCTAGCATGATTCTACATAATCAAATAATTACCAAGTACGCGAACGTACCTTGAATATGATCTCAAAATCGCCACGACTAAATAAAATCACTCACTTGGAAACCTCCTACAAACCAAAATTACAAAGAGGCATTAATACCTATTCCACACAAATCTCCAGCAATATACACTCTTTAAATCACGCATAAACCCTCTAAAACAAGCTAAAATTTAATTTAAAACCTTTACTTTTATTCCCAATTAATGAGTTATTAAAAATCCTTTCAAGAAACATAATTATAGCTTATATATAAAAATTCCAGCTTTATTAAATCATCTAAAATTGCTGTAATTGTGTTTTAAAACACTTATTTCAATAATTTAAATCACCCATGAACAATTTCCATCAATATACATAAACTTAGAAACCTAGGGTTTATAATTTGGGGCTTTTTAATTCAAAACCAAATCTAAAAATTTATATACATCATACTTAAAATCAAACATCATAAAAATCATCACAAAACTCAAAATCAATAATTAGATCAAGAGTGGATTTAATTAAAAATAAAAAAGAAGAATATATATATATATATATATATATATATATATATATATATATATATATATATATATATATATATATTTCACAAAACACACGCACGCACAAAGGGTGAAAGGGAGTGTGGCTGGCGCCACCTCCCACAGCTGCTGCTGCTGCTGCTGGCCCTATGCTGGCGGTGGCGGCCGGCTGTGGTGGTGGTGGCAGCCGGCCACCGTGGTGTGTGTGGTGGTGGTGGTGAAAAAAAATTAAAATTAAAATAGGTGAAGGGGAAAGATAAGAGAGAGAAAGAAAAAATAAGAAGAGAGAGAGAGTTACCTTTGGGTATTCTCCACCTTGGGCAAGGTTCAATTTGCCCATGCGATGGGTATTTTTACCCCCTCTCTAAACCCTCCTACTTAAATTCCCCTTTTTTACCCTTAATGACCTCTTCTCCTATTCAAACTAGTATTTTGACTTTTCTTAAATACCATTGGCTTTAAAATTTCCTTTTATAAAATAATATGCCCCAAAGTTTCCAAATTATGAAATAAAATATTTTCAAGATTGTTAAATAATTAAAAATAAACTGTTAATTAAACTAATTCTTTTTAAATTAATGAAACACCATAAATAATTCATTTTGAATTATTTAAATACTTTAAGAAATACTTATTTAAGTTAAAATTCATATAAAAATACGGGGTATTACAATATTCTCTCAAGCTAGTCTCAATAAATAAATTTCCTATCTTTATAAGTTTATCGTGGAAGAATATTTGATAATAATATAATATAAGTCATACATATAATACATTAGATTTGAAAAATAAAAAGACTATTATTAATTAGAAATATTTGAGTAAAAAATTCGACTAACATCATGTTCGGGCACAACACCAAATCTATGACTTCAATCTTTGTCCTGAATAATGTTCGATAAATTTGTATCTATACTCAAAACGTTAAATCTTTTAAAGCGAGTTTAAAATCTACAAATTCACTATAAATAAGCAAAACTGCAAAAAAGTACTCCATGTTTACAAAGAGTATGGAATCAGAATTGGGGGAATAATAATTATTTTCCACTAAGTTTATATAAAAATATATTTTCTTAAATCTAGTACTGAGCATTTTGCTAAATAAAGATTAAAGAATCAAGCTTTAAAGCAATCCTTCTATTAATTCCTTCTAATTAATAAATTAATTATACTTTTCAGCTAGACAAAGTTAAATGGAACTATATCCTGTACCATAATTGGTAAAGAAAAATAACTTAAGTTAGTACAATTCTTAATTATTAGTATAGTAATCATGGGGTTCATGTGATTAAGTACAGATTAA